TCTGGAACAGCCCCAGGTCCTGGATGGAGGGTACTGCTTGAGGGCAGAGCTTGACCCTGGGTCCGCGGAGAGTAGCTGGGGCGTGAGGGGAGGGGGTGGCTCTTCGTCTGGCCGGGAACTGCCGCTGGAAGTGCAGCAAATCACGAACTCTCACACAATTGTTCCCCCTAACACGCTCACTCGGAACGGGGAGAGGGGGCGGAGGGGGGGTAGGGGAAGAGTGCTCTCTCCACCCCCAAACGTCTTCCATCCCGAAGCGCGCCCCGCGTGCCAGCTCCAGGCGGAGCGCAGACGCGGTAACTCCGGAGCCTTTCCGCCGCCACTCCAGGACCGGCTGCCACCCGCAAAGAGCAAGGAGCATACGCAAGGCTCTTCCAGCGTCCCGCACTTTCTTGAGCACAAAATGACCCCTAAGCCACAAAGCTGCGGCCTCTTTTATCCCAAGAGCGTGGAAACCCCACCACTGGTCGCCCTCCCTCCCCGCCGCAAGGCCACCGCATGTAGGTGGGAGCGGGACGGGGGAGGGGGGTCTGAGGGAGATCCGCCGCCTATTTGAGGGGAGTCCAGGTGCCTCAGCGACTGGGGTGGGAGTCGCTGATAGGGAAGGTGGGCATGGGCGTCCGGGAGTTGTCTCCTAGGTTCTGGCCAGGAGGAGACCTCCCTGCTCAGGCAGGAAAACCAGGACAAAAAGTCGAAGTTTACACTGGAGAGCTGAATGTCTCTACTAAATACAAAAACCAAGTTTCTAGAGGAAAAGATGGAGTCGTGGGGAGGGGAGGGCCCCGGAGTCTTCAGAGTTGGTGCTTCCAGGATACATGCCAGGCAGGATTACCCAGAACAGGGGATGATGGTTCACATGGAGACAAAGGCAGGAGAGCAGAGAAACCTTTGGAAAACAGTGTTGACCTGACTGGTAATGTTAACTAAAAGACTGGAAGTTCAAGACCACCTGAAAGCACCTCAGAAGAAAGGCCTGCCAGCCCGCTTCCCCAAAAGGAGCGATTGTAAGCCTTGTGGAGCAGAGCCCTGCTCTGATATACAAGGGTTCTCCATGAATCAGAGTCAACTCCATGCTGATTAGTTGGAGATCTTATGAGAGAAAAACCATTAGGGAGGATTGGAGGTGCCCTCAGTCTGGGCAGAGCAGCAATAAGATGCTTAGCAGAGGACACCCTGCTGGGAAGAAGGTATAGGTGGATGGTAAAGTGAGTACAGGCTCTTGCTCACCTGGGACCTGGGGCCCAGGCCAGGAAGTTGGAGCCTTTTCACCCTTTCTGTCACCTGGGGAAACCTGTGGGGTTTACCTGCACATACTATGAATCCCCCCGTTTTCTTCTCGCCTGTTACACCCTGTCACGGTGTTGTAGAAAGTACTTGACATCAGCATGAAGGCATTTGCTAGCAGTGTGATGTCAAGCCTGCCTATTCTCTGCAAAATGAAGCTGATCCAACCAGCCCCGCCTGCTCACAAAGGGGCCAGCAAGAGCAAGTCTGGGAAAGAGCTACACGGCTATTCAGAGCAAGGCCCTCCGAGGAGCCTGCTCCTGCTCTCAGATCACTCCGGGCCCTGTACTGGCCAAGTTTGGAAGGGTCAGCTGCTCCCTTTTCACTCCCACCCCACAGAAGCCCTCTTGGGCCATAGCCCAGGGAGAGGGCATCCAGAGCCTCTGCTCTGGATCTAGTAGGGGTAGGAATGCCCTCCCTCTTGACCCCGGTAGGAGAAGGGAGGTTTTTCCTCAACCCTTTAGGACTCAAGTTCCCTTTTCTGACGCATGAGGAAAACTGCTTCCTTCTGTCTGTTTCCAGGGCCAGGGCAGGAGGTGCCCCTGGACTTTGTGTGTGGCAGGCTACTCTTGACAAGCCAGACTGTGCCCCCTTCCCCTATATCCCCCTCCCTTTTTATGGAAGAGCAGGGCATCACAAAAAGAATGCTGGAAGCCAGACCCCTGCCTCCCTGCCCCCACCTCCACCCCAAGATGGCAAAGCCCTGTAGGTCCCTCTCCCCTCACCCCCACCCCGAGGTGAGTGAAGGCAGTCCCAGAGGGCAGCAGTGGCCCCTTCAGGGCCTCACTTTGGTCTGGCAGGAGTTGCAGGACAGGGTGCCCAGCTGGCCCCATCACCCAGAGCAGGTCTGTGGCAGTGTACAGGGAAGGGGTTGGGGGTGCCATGTCTCAGGCTCCGGAGCCTTTGCTGTGACTTCCTGTGGGCTCAGTATGTTCTGAACAGACAAGAAATGGCAAAGCTAAAGAAGAAAAAAAAAAGCTGAGACTTTGCTGCAGAGCACAGAGGCACCAACAGCCGGAATTAGAAGCTGTCGCTTAGGGAGCTGAGGGCTGACAGGAGACAGCTGAGGCAGGCAGGGGGCAGGCAGGCACTCTGCACTCCTCCTCCCCTCCCACCTGCTGCGCCCTTTCCCCAGGCCCAGGCTGGGCCGCAGCTGTCCCCCTCCCCACCCCCTTCTTTCCTCCTCAAGTGTCACCAGCCCCCTCACCCTGTCACGTTGCACCAGCTCAGCAGGGTTGGGCAGGGTGGCACGTGACTAGGAGAGCTAGAGAGTGACTGGGAGGGGCGGGGTGGGGAGTGAGTCAGCGGGGGCTCTGGCATCAGAGTCAGCAGTAGGATTGGGGTGGGGGGGGGGAGGGATCCTTATCAAAAAGTGAAACTGAGGCATGACAAGTAGAAAAGGAATCTGGCTCCCAGCTGCCTAGATGGGCAGCAGGGTGGAGCCCAGAGGCCCTTCACTTGTCCTGAGTCCTAAGGGAGCACCCAGCTCTTCTGCACATCCTCAGAGTCAGAAAAGAATGTCTCTCCAGGGCCCAGGGTGTGCCCAGGCACATTGGCCCCCAGAGGCACCTGTCCTTTTTCGGAGTCTGGAGTGGATAGGGACCTGGCCTCCCGGGAAGCCCCAGCTGGCAGGACAGAGGCCTCACCAGGAAGCAGAGTTTTACCACCTTCTCCCTCCCTGTCACTCTGCCCTGCCCTGCTGTGAGTCCAGAGGAGACTGAGCCATCACCAGCAAAAGCTGTGAATCCCTCCATTTGGCTAACCACAAGGTCAGCAGTTCAAAACCAGCAGCAGAGAACACCTTGGGGGAAAGATGAGGCTTTCTATTCCCATAAAAGGTTACAGTCTCAGAAAGCCCAGGGGCAGTTCTACCCTGTCCTATAGGGTTGCTATGAGCAGGCATTGACATGATGGCAGGGAGTTTGGTTTGGTTGAAAGTTGTACAGTCTGGACACCCACAGGAGCAGCAGTGCGATTCAGCCCTGAATGGTTGCTATGAGTGGAACCCACTTGGTTTGGGGAGTTATGCCTACCCGCCTGGGTCAGCAAGAGCCTCTCAGTGAGATTCCCCACCCCTGCAGAGCTCTCCTCTGGGAGGCAAAGGTAAGTGTCTGGCTGACGGATTGAAAATAGGGCCCTGTCCTTGGTGGGGGGGGAGGGGGAGAGGTGGTGACCCACTCCTAGATACGTCTATATGTGTGTGTGTGGGGGGGGCAGGCCTTACTCTTGTGAAAAAGCACACCATCTTGCCTCACCCTACAACTGGGGAGCCCGAGACCAGGCCTCCAGGGGATGAGTGTGGAGTACTGTACTTGTTTTTTCCAAAACCATAGGTGTCCCAGCTAAGTGCATCTGCTGTAATTCTCTAAGACGAAAACAACTTCTTCCCAGAATCAACTCCCAGGGGGGTCTCTCCAGAACCAGTGCCTGCCCCAATTTGGGACTTAGGGCCCTCAACAGGTTTGGGGACGAACCCTATCCTCAAGACCATTTGGAGTCACAGCGCCCCAACAGGACAGAGTAGAATGGCTCCTTAGGGTTTCCGAGACTGCTGCAGGAGCCCAAAAACATGCCCCTGGGCCTGACCACTCTAAGGTTTCTAAAGGGACCTGGGGGGAGCCAGAAGGTGTGGAGCTCCCCCAAATGGGGAAGGGGCACTTGGCCCTAGGCTCTTCTGCTTCAGTCCTGAGTGGAGACAAGCGTGGGTGTGGACTCTGAAGTGCCGTGACTTCATTTTTCCAGTGGTGTGGCATCAGGCTGGCAGAAGGAGAAGTGACTTCTCTTCCAACCCACCGCACAGAAGGGCCCTCAGCTGGAATTCGGCTCCCAAGATGTTGTTTGTTTTTTATTCCCCAAGCCCACTAACAACACACACACACACACACACACACACACACACACACACACACACTTTCTCTCTCTCTCTCTTCCTTAGCTGCAGACCAGAGGCCAGACATAGGCAGGAAATACCCAGATAGGAGTCTTTAGTAGGGGAAGGGAAGAGAACAATAAATAAACCTCACACATGCCGGATATAGCATGATGCTGTCCTTGCCAGGCAACCGGAGTGAGGGTGCATGCTAGGATGTACCCCCCACAGCCCCAGAACCCAGAGAAACCCCCACCACTACCACCACCACCACTACCACCAACTGCACATGTCTCAGTGGCCTGAGGCCCATGTCAGCCATCCCATCCCCTGAGGGAAGGGCCTGAGCTCTGGGTGCGGCTGGGTCCCAGGGCGTGTGGAGACCATGTCAGGCTCCGCCTGGGAGAGCTGATGGCAAGGCTGGCCCAGAGTGGGCAAGAGATGGACGCTGTAAGCCCAGAAGAGCTGCCCTCCTGGTGACAGAAGGGCTCTGGGCTTGGTGCTGCTGGAACCAGACGCTAGAGTGGAGTTTCCAGGGGCCCAGGTTCAAACCTCCAGGTGAGGGGCCTGCTAGCTCGGAAAGGCTGAGTGGGGCCAGAACTGTTTTCTTTTGTGCCCACACATGTCCCTTGCCCTCAACAAATACATGACGCTAATTTGGAGAGAGGGGGAAGGTTGGGGGACAAACCGGTGTTTAGGGAGGATGTCTAGGCCTCCTTGGGCCCCAACCCTGACAACTCCCATTTCCTGCTTGCTCCTCAAGCCTGGCTGTGGAGGAGGGGGCCAAAGCGGCCAAGGGAGCCCCAAGTGTCTGCAGCCTGAGAGGGTGGGCGTGGGGGCGTGCCACATCCTAGAGCGGGTCCCATAGTCCTTGTTGAATGTCCCAGTGGGAGGGGGACATCAGAGGCGGCTCTCCTGGGCATCTATCCCCACTGTGAGTGGCTTTTCACTGGGCTCTGCAGCAGCCCCACAGGGCCGCGCTGCTCCTTCCTTGTCAGCCTCCGAGGGCAAGCAGGCCCTGAGACAGGCCCTGACGGACTCCTTCACCTCCAACTCCAGGCTCTTCCGTCTGACCTCATACTCTGCCAGCGCCTCCTCCTGGAACTGTGAAGGCAACAAGGACCCCACTCCCAGAGCTGAACTCAGGGGGATCCCCCCCCCCCCCCCCCACCCCTCTCTCCTTCCCCCCCACGGGCGGGGGGGGGACCCCCCCCCCCCCCGCCAGCCCTCTCTCCTTCCCAGCACAGGGGCAGAGGAGGTATCCCCCTCCCAGGAGGCTGGGGAAGGGGAGCATCCATCGGGAGTCTTGCAGGAGAGGAGCGCAGAGGTCTGCCAAGCTGCCTCCCTGTAGCCTGTGACCCACCCTGACTGGCAGCTCCCCCCCCAGAGCAGGCCCCTTGGCACCCCCTCCCCTCCTGGGGACCAGTGTGGCAGTCCCTGTTACCTGCTTCTCCATCTCCTGGATCTGTTCCAGGCAGGCCGCCTGCTTCTCCCCCAGCCTTTTCTGGTGCCCGTCTAGGGTCTCTGTCATCTGGGGGAGGTGGGGGGATGGAGAGTCAGGACAGCACTGATACGCCAAGCAGGACTGGTATCATGGCTGCCGCCGCAGCTGGCCAACTATAAGACCATGGACCAATTCCCTAACTTTTCTGAACAAGTTTGTTTTTAATCTGCAATTGTTCCTGTCTCACTGGGGAGCCCGGCCAGCCCAGTGGGTTACACTCTGGGCAACTAACCTTAAGGTCAACAGTTTGAAACCAAAGGTCAACAGTTTGAAACCACTGGCAATGCCAAGGGAGAAAGAGGGGTCTTTCTCCTCCCGTAAAGATTCACAGCCTCGGAAACCCACAGGGGCAGTTCTGCCCTGTCCTATAGAGTCGCTGTGCATCTCTGCATCTCGGTGGGTGGGAGGAAGGGAGGGGACACTGCAGGCAGGTCTCAGTGGAGGGTGGCTCAGTGGGTTACTGGTGTGGCATAGTGGCTGCTGGTGTGAGGACCCACAGCAGGGCTTTAGTCCAGTCTCAGTGGGGTTTTTACTCCCTCTTCAGCCTCCTTGGGGCCTTAGGATAGCCACCCTTCCTCCTGTGTCACCCCCCCACCCAAGTCCCATCTCTGCTGACCAGCTAGCCCATATCATTTCCATCCAGGGCATCTGGCCAGAAACACACCCCTCTGGACTGATACCCCAACCTCCACCCACACGTCCAAACCCTCAGGTAGACTAGGACCTCCCCCTCCCCTGCATTGCCTCCTTCTAAACCTTAACTGCTGGGGCACCTGTGGCCAGTGCATCTGCAAAGGGAAACCCCAGGACTCCTGTGGGGAGTCTGAGTGCTGACACACACGTGCCTGAGGAGACCAGCCCGCCCTCACACACCTGCCGGATGACCTGTACCACTTCCTGTATGTGCGAGCTGTTGATCTCTCTCTTCAACCTGTTGGGATAACGGAGTTTCAGAAGGGCAAGAGAGGCCACTGGGGGGAGTTGGGTTTCCTCAGAGTGTAGGCAAATGGGAACTCCATCCTAGAGGCCAGCTGAGGAGTATGCGTGGAGGCCCTAGGAGGATGTGGGGGCAACGGAGCCGAGGCTCTCTGAGGTAACTTCCCCAAGCACACTACCCTTCAGGCTTGGATGGACATGCACACAGGTGGGAGGCAGAGCACGCATCCCAATGTTCCCCTCTGCCTTTGCAAACTTAGTTTGTGCCTTTCTGCCCCAACAGGGCTGTTGGTGTCTGTTTTGCCAAGGAGGAAACCCTCCCCTCAGAGGTGGCAGCCCTGGGATCAACATGCCAGAGCCAGGGAAGAGGCCTCTCTGGGAAGAGTCAGGGTCCGCTTGTGGGGCCTGGACTGGGCGCTAGATCTGCCTTTGATTCTAGGCCTCCTCTCCCAGCGCTCACCTCTCCTGGGTCATCTTGTCTGCGGTGACCTTGATCATGGCCTGGATGCGCTCCAGCCTCTTGGCCTCCAGCTTTTTCTTCATCTCTTTGGTGTCACTGCAGAGACACGGGCATCAAAGAGAGGCTTGGTGGGGTCCGGCGCCTAGCCCGGGTCTGAGAGACTAGCTTGGTAAGGAGGTGTCCATACTTCTCCGAGGTCTCCTTAAGAGCCTTCCCCTCCGCAGCCTGTTTCTCTCGGGCCAGCTCCATCATCTTGGCAATTTGCTGGGCGGAGGGGCGGGAGGGGAGGTTCGTGAGAAGTCCTTGTTGTGCTGCCCCCAAGTGCACCCCTGGGTCTCGTTCTGCCCCCCGCCCCCCCATGGCTTTCCCATTTGGGGCCGGCTAGTTTCGGAGGGAGGGGCAAGGCAGGACGGGTCACTGTCCCAGGGACGGGCCGATCACCTCTGTCACGTTCTGCTCCTTGCG